ACACAAAAAACATACAAAGGATCAATGAGGCAGAAAGTTGGTTCTTTGAAAAGATAAACAAAATTAATAAACTGCCAGCTAGGTTAACCAAAAAAGGAAGAGAGAAGATCCAAATAAATGGAGTCAGAAATGAAAAAGGAGACTGATATTACAGAAATATAATAATTATCATCAAAGACTATTATGAACATCTATAAGCTGACAAGCTGGAAAATCTAGAGAAAATTGATCAGTCCCTGGAAACATATAACCTACCAAGATTGAATCAAGAAAAAAGAAAACTTGAACAGATCTATAATACACAGTGAAATTGAGAAAGTAACAGAAAGTCACCCAACACAGAAAATTCCAGAATCGGATGGATTCAAAGCTAAATTCTACCAAACATACAAAGAACTAATACCAATCCTCCTGAAACTACTACAAAAAAAATTGAAGAGATGGAATTCTCCCTAACTCATTATACAAGGCAAGTGTTACCCTGATTCAAAAACCAGACAGGGACATGACACACACACACAAAAAAAAAAAAAAAAAAAAAGAAAAGAAAGAAAGAAAGAAAGAAACTGTAAGCCAATATTTCTCATTAACATAGATGCAAAAATCCTCAACAAAATAATTAGCACAACAAATCCACATTAAGAAGATAATGCCATGACCAGGTGAGACTTACACCAGGAAAGCAAAAATGGCCCAACATATGCAAATCAAGAAACATGATACGTCAACAAATCAACAGAATGAAGGACAAAAACCATATGATTTCATCTCAGTAGATGCAGAAAAAGCATTTTAAAAAATGCAACATACCTTCAGAATAGATAAAAACTGTCAACAAGCTAGGAACATACCTCATTACCCAAAAAGTCATATATGGCATACCCACAGCCAACATCATACTGAATGGGGAAAAAGTTGCAAGTGTTTTCCCTAAGAAATGCAATAAGACAAGGACGACCACTCTCACCACTCCTATTCAACGTAATACGGGAAGTTCTAGCCAGAGCAACCAGATATGAGAAAGAAATACAAATCATTCAGATTGGAAAAGAGAAAGTCAGATTGTCTCTCTTTGCTGATAATATGATCTTATGTCTAGAAAAACCTAAAGACTACTAGAAAACTGTTAGATTTGATAGACAAATAAAAAAATGCAGAGTACAAAAATCAGTAGTGTTTCTGTACACTAATAATGAATTAACAGAGAAAGAAATCAAGAAGGCAATAGCTACAAAACTAAAAACACCTAGGAATAACTTTAGCAAGGAAATAAAAGATCTCTACAAGGAAAATTACAAAACACTGATGAAAGAAATTAAAGATGACACTAACATGTTGAAAAACATCTCATAGTCAAGGATTGGAAGAATCAATATTGCTAAAATGACCCTATTGCCCAAAGCAATCTACAGATTCAATGCAATCCCTATAAAAAATATTGTTCTTCACAGAATTAGAAAAAAAAAATACTCATAGAATTTATAAGGAACAAAAAAAGAGCCCAAATAGTCAAAGTAATCCAGAGCAAAAAGAATAAAGCTGAAGACATCACGTTACTTGATTTCAAGCCTATAGTAACCAAAAAAAGCACAGTATTGGCATAAAAATAAACATATAGACAAATGGAATCAAATAGAGAATCTGGAAATAGTGCCACGTATTTACAGTCAACCAATCTTCAACAAAACCAATGAGAACTTACACTGGGGAAAGGACATCCTCTTTGATAAATGGTGCTGGGACAATTGGATAGCCACATATAGAAGAATGGAACTGGACCCCCATCTCTTACCATATATAAGAATTAACTCAAAATAGATTGAAAACTTAAACATAAGACCCAGAATTATAAAAATATTAGAAGAAAATCTAGGAAGACTCTCCTGGACATGGGTCTAGGCAAAGAATGTATGACAAAGACTTCAAAAGCACAGGCAGCAACAACAACAGACAGATGGGACTTAAGCTAATGAGTTTTTGCACAGCAAAAGAAATAATCAAGAGTGAAAAGACAAGTGGGAGAAAATATTTGCAAATTATTCATCCAATTGAAGACTGATATACAGAATATATAAGAAACTTAAACAACTAAATAGGAAAAAAAAATCCCAATAAAAAGTGGGCAAAGGACATAATAGACATTTCTTTTTTTTTGAGTTGGAGTCTCTCACTCTGTCACCCAGGCTGGAGTGCAGTGGCCGCTCCTGGCTACCACAGCCTCGACCTGCTGGGCTCCGGCGATCCTTCCGCCTCAGCCTTCCAAGTAGCTGGAACTACAGGTGCGCGCTACCACACCCAGCTAA